ATTGTTTTTGTAAAAAAATTACATAAGAAAAAAAATTCTGTTGGCTTTAAAGTCCATTAATCTTGATTAAGGGATGAGCTTACAAAACAAAATCCTACTGTTTATTCTGTATTTATGTATTCAATCAAAATGAAACATGGTTTTTGTGACAAATAATTATTTATATTCTTTTTATCTTTAATTAATCAATTTTAGTCAGGTGTTGTGGTTTTGAGAGCATAAAAAACATAAGTGACAGAAGACTAGTTGATCTACTAAGCCAAAACAAATATTCCTTTTCTTAAATGCAACTTTTGTTACAGAGAGAAAACAAGGGCCAATTGGTCTGTCTAGACTATCCCATTTTATATTACCACCTAACTACAAACAAATAAATAAACCCCCTTTTCATATATATATTATGAGATATCAAGGGTGTCTTGACTTCTGACCTTAGTAACAAACAGAAAAACTGTCACTAGATCCAACTCCAATTCCCCAAATATTCATAAGTCCCTTTCTTAAACTCCTGTAAAGTTTTAGACCCTAGCACTTAGAGGGTATTTTAACTCCTGTAAAGTTGTAGACCCTAGCACTCAGAGGGTATTCTGCTCCACAGATCCCCAAGCCTGATGGAGAAATAAAAATACTCAACTTATGACGTCTGACCTTTCAAAATCAAAATTCAACACAAAAAATCTGATGTATAAAATCTTGTCAATTTTCTGTAATACTCTGAATACTTCACTTACATATATAACCATTCTTTTTTTAAGAGACAATAAATTATATCTCAAGATATCCTCATACAATAACCCATCCATTTCTGGAATCATCCCAGAAGCAATCAATCAATTCAATGTCCTTCCAAAGTTACAGAAACAAACACTACACAGTCTTTCTATTAAGTTTCTCATGTGGCACCTTATTAAATTTCTCCTGAATTAATTTAATATCATCTTCAAATTAACCAAACAACTGGTTATTCCTTTATTAACATCATTGATGAAAATTATTTGTATATCAGAAATGCCATGAAGCTACAACAGAGTTACCACAGGGTTTGTCACACCCAGATATAGTCCACCATCATTTAGGCTCCTTCCCATCCACACATGTACCCAACAAAACTTTAAAAGAATTAAAACAAACAGTACAAATAACAGGTTTTTAATTCTACCTGAAAATAATTTGGTTAAAGCCTAATACTCCTAATTAAAACCAGCTGAAACAAGGTATATAAAACAAGAGGCAATAACCACGGCACTTGAAATTATTATAGGCAGCATTAGAGTAAATTAATGTATGAGGCCTTTCTTTACTTTTTATTAGCTAAATTTTTTGTGTCAGCAATATCAAGAGTGGGGTGCAAGTATACAAGATTCAATTTTATTATTCATCAAGATCTCTACCAGCCTACCCTCATAATGAAATTCCTTTAGGACAGTGATTCAGAATGTGTGGTGCATTCCACACAGGGGGGCAATTTGAAAATGCTACAACAATCAAAATTTTTCACTTGGGTGTGAAGAGCGAAAAAACTAAATTTCACATTATATTATTCTACCTTTTCAACACCAAATTTGTTTTTATATTAAGGGGGTATCAAATATTTTGAAGTGTCAAGGTGGGGCATGGAGCAAAAAAGATTAAGAACCACTGCTTTAGGCAGTAAATTAATCTACGAGACCCTGGGTATGGTCAAATATATCAATCGAAAGGGTTTGACCTCCTGAGTCCAAAACTGTATTTAGACCTCAAATTAGTCAAGATATGACAGGGCTATGAGTTAAATTTTGTACTTAAAAAAAACAAAAAAAAAACAAGCCGTTCTATGAGCCACTATGCCGTGGCTAAAAGTATCACAACCCCACATTAACATGCCATCACCAGGTGATAAAAACACAATGACAAAAGAGAACAATAAATACACCAAGGCAGTATTATCATACAATTAAAATGAATTCAAATTAATACAAAAGAACCTTGTCATTTTATTTACTGATGGTTTGAATTATTCAAATAAAACAGATTTTGTCATTTTACTTTTGTTTAAAAGAACTTAGATTAATGATTTATGTAAGAAATCACATTTATTCTTGAACCATAAATTTATTTTTCTACTTGGTAAAGAAATTAGCTCTTTATTATCAAACACTTTTAAACAAAATTATGATAGCAAAAATGCAGTACATATAATATAATAATACATAATATTCAGAGTGACATAAACCTTATATTGGAGAAACTGGATGAAAATTGTATATTGGGTTAAAAGAACATATTTGAACATCTTCACGACAAGTGATATAATCAACTAATATTAAAATTTCTCTTTTACAAAAAACAGCTTGAAAAAACATCAAAAGAAAGAAGCTACTTTAATTAATCAACCAATTAAACCCATTAATAAATAAACTGGTAAAGTTTAATTTGTATTTCATTCTCTTTAATGACATGAATATACTGCCTCAGTATATTTACTGTGCTGTTTTTTTACTGCTTTTTTTATGTGATGTTGCCAAAAACCTCATTTCTCATGTTTCTAACTCTGAGAGTTTAGAATGTGAAATACCTCTATTATACTTGTGTATTACTTCTAATGTTTCCTAAAATATAACATTACACTGCTTAGGTATTCAAAAGAATTTTTAAAGTATAAATTTCAAATTATTCCACCACTGTTTTCTTGCTTATTTGCATGAAGTATAAAATATACAACATAATTTTCAATAATTGTATACTGTTCATGATGTATTACTTGAACCAGAACAGGGCAGTTAATAGAATTTAGTAATTAATGAATCAATTGTTGGACTTGTTAATATATTACATTCAACTAATCAATCACTCTCACATGAAACTTCCATACTTGGAATAATAAAAACTGGAAACACTGATTTTGGTTAGTTGATTATTTTTGTGATACTAACTGAATTAATTGTTTTACTTAAAATCCCATAAATTTTAAGCATGACAAGGGGTTGTTGGTCCATCTAGGTCATCCCATTTACTAAAGTCAAATATTGAAAATACACATATACAAGCACACATCCTCAAAGTCAGCCCTTATCATTCAAATATTTATCAAGCATTGCTTGAAACTCCTTTGAATTTACTTTATCCACCATATCTGAAGGTAACTGTCTTAGCTGAAGATAAGTCCTACCATTCTCACAAGTACAAAAAAAAAATAATAATAATGCATCAAGACTATCAATACTCTTAAACACCTCAACCAGATCCCATCTAACTCTTCTTTTTCAATAGAAAACATTTTTAAAAATCTTAACCTCTCCATCCCCAGTATAATCATCTCAGTCCTATTTCAACAATTTAGTGCCTTTCCTGACATAAGATTGGAAACAGTGCTCTCAATGAGACCTAATCAATGATCAAAACAATGAAATTATAGCCTCTTTAGACTTGTGGTTAATATTTCTGTAGATACAACCTAAAATTCTATTTACCCTACAACATGCAACAGAACACTGCTTGGATGGCTCGAAAGACTGATCAACCAGGACATCGAGATCATTTTTGCCTATAACACTGTTATGGTTATTCCCATTGAAATTATACTTATAATTCAATCAATGATAACCCACATGCATTACCTTTCATTTATTATAATCAAAATCCAACTGCTATTTATTCATCCAACTCACCAAGTAATCTAAATCCTTTTGTAAAGCAGCAGCATCCAAAAACCTTAATCTCATCAGCAAATTTAAGTAATGCATTAATCATTTCTTCATCTATGTTGGTGTAAATCAAAAATAGAAAAGGTCAGCCTCGAGATACCTTAATCATGACATTAATCCAGTCTGACTGAACTCCATTTATAACAACCCTTTGCTTTCTTCCATCTATCCAGTTTTCTGTTCAATGAGCTAACCTATCCCTCCCACCTACACAGATAACTTTTTAACAAGCCTTTTAGAAAGCAAATCTACCCTTATTCTCATCTATGTAAGCAGTGACTTCTTCAAAGAATGTCAAAAGATTATTGTAAAGAAAGATTTCTCTCTCTTGTGAAACCTTGTTAATTATTCAACAAAATTTTAAATTTTGTTAAATGACTTTATAGAGCATATTTTATAAAACTTTCAAAAACTTTTCCCTCTACTTATTCACAACTAATTAGGCCTATAATTACCATGACAATTTTTATCACCTCCATTGAAAAGAGGAGTAACATTAGCTAATTTCCAAACCTCTGGCACCTGTCCAATATTCAGACTTGTAAAAAATAATATCAAGTGCTTCACATATTTAATACTTAACCTCATTCAAAACCCTTGAGTAAATATTACCTGACCAAGAAGCCTCATCATTCTTTAAGCTTCCCAGTTTTTCCTTAACAAGCTAATGATTAATATGATCACCTTGTTCGCTCTTGCTTTCACCTAGCAGGAAGAGGAATATTGCTTAAATCTTAATTAATAAAAAAGTGAAGAAAATATACTATTTAATAACTCAACTATCACATAATCACTAGAATTTGCCTTCCTGTATTATCCCATCCTAACATTTTGCTTACCCTT